ATGAACTGAACTGAAATGGACTGAATTTAATAGAGCTGAAATGAATTTTTTTTAAGAGAGAAGGAAATTATGAGTTGAACTGAACTGATTGGAGCTGAATTGAATTGATTATTGAAGCTGAACTGAACTAAAATAAAGCTGAAGTGAACAAGCCTAAGTATTCGGTCATTTAAAAAGAATTTTCATTGAATGAAAAACTATCATCACAAATTCAAAAGCTTAGATCAGTAGAGTTCTTTTATTTAATTAAACAGCAAGGTAGGAAGTTTCAAGATTTTCCACTTCTTGCAAGCTTTGCTTCATAAAACTCTGCCTTTAAGTCTAACCTCACACAAATGCCCTTTATTCAACTTAAGATTCCTCATTTTAGTAATATTAAATGCATCTATCTCATATCTATTCAATCAACTAATTCTTGACTTAACACACCAATACACACATCAGTCAAAATAAAATTGATATAATACAAATGTATTATACCAAATAATTAGATGTCACTAACTAGCTAGTGAGGTCTATTGATGATGATTGTGCAAATTAAATATATGCATTTACTTGGCATTAGTTTATATTAGTAGAAAGACTAGCATAAAGTTTAGATTGTTTTAATATAAGAGAAAATTCGAATTTAGAGGTTAATATATATACGACACCAAAATAATCATCATTGAGTTAAAATTTTACTTTTGGCAAATGGAATTATACATTTATACACAGTACAATATTTTCAAAAGAGAAAACGATAAAACAGACATATTAGATGCTAACTCATAAACGTGATGCATATTGTTAATTTGTCATAGACTTGTGTAGCTAAACAAGAGGTCCTTGTGATTCAAGATCAAAAGATATGGTTGGTAAAAAAAAACTTTTTAAAGTTAAACATCCAAAAGATATGGTTGGAGGAGTATATACTCATTTTAGCAACAAAATTGACCAATTATTTCAAACTTTTGGGTTTATATAGGTGAATTGTTTGCCATCCCAAAGAAAATAAAGATCCAAATTTTTGTTGCTTTTCAATTTGTAGATATTTCGTCAAAAAGTTGGCTCCTGTCAATTTTAACTAAACAATCAAAATACGTAGTACATTTAACTTTTAGGGTTCACTTCACCTACATCACCTTTTGGCATTTCTTGGTCAATTTTTGGCGTATCAAATCGTACAATTCACTACTGCTGTAAGTGTTTGATCGATTTATCTAACCTTAATTTGCCTCTCCAAAAAATTAAGCAAGCATTTATTTTTGTTGACTATATAAACTGTTATTTGAATATGATTGATTTTACTTACATCGGCCCACGGTTTTCCACGAATATAAAGAATAAATAATTGGGCTCTGTTAGACAACAACATTTTAACTAATTTAGCTTAAAGCAAGTTAGTAATCGTGGCAAAACACAGGCTAAGTACAATATTAAAACCTAACGTAAAATAAAGCCTACAATTTACTATTTATTAAGAAAGTTCTATGATATAACCTTGTATTACTTATAGTCATTTGTTAACATAAAATTCACTTTTATCCCTTTATTTATGTACCCTAATTGAAAATTTTGTATCAATGTCCTGCTTGTGCTATCCCAATAAGCACCCGTACGACTGTGAGAGATACTCCTTTACTAGACCATTAGACCAATATTGTTCCGGCTACCTGGCACATTGCACCGTGAGGCTTTACCTCCGAATCCAACACAATGGTACTGGCACCAAGTTATGCATCACCAAGGTTAAGTTTCGCTCAGTATCCACACCCTAAAGGGCTCATCACATTTTGTCCTCAAATAATAATACGTAATAATAATAAAATGCACAAAATGTGTTTGATCCCATTCTCTTGGTTGAAACAGCCGAATTCTCTGAACATCACACTATTATGCTCGAAAAAGATAACCAATACATTAAACAAATCTGCTAAAACTAATTACTACTCCGTAATAAATTATCAAGTACAATACTACAAATTGACTACCTGCTACCACAAATTGAATGTATTTAATGAATCAAAATAACGTAATTATCCTGCAACTTGAAGCAACAAGACACCAAACTAAAGATATATTCACCTGCTCCAGAAAAGGTCGCATAGTGAATTCAGACGCAACGATTCGAAGGCGCGTTCGAAGCCAGAAGGAAAGAAATACAACCATACTTGAGAATGAATCAACAAATGTAACTAAAGGCGATGACAAAGTCAAAAGTTTGATTACATTAAGAACATCAAAGGGAGTTAAGTCAACAAAGCAAACTTTAATAAGGATGTACTGTAAACACACTTGTTAATCAGAAATATCAAACAATTATTACTTGTAAAGGAGACCAGATCAGCCAAGTACAGAAAAGGTACTCTTCGGCTAGTTGAAACTTGAAAGTATTGTATCGAATACATGTATTAGAGTACTTGGATTCTCAAGTACATGTATCGAATCCTCACTCCCTGACATGGGTGTACGGGGTATGGCAACTTACAATTCAATTTGGACCAAAAACATGAAATTTTTCATTCGTAAGAAATAGCATAATCTGACACCTGAACACATATGAGTAGTCGAGTAATATAATTGCTCGAGTACAAGCCATAAACAGACAACGTGCTAGGGAGAGAATCGCGTGTTCATGCTATCTTTTTCAATCTGTAAATCTATCACCAAGCAATCTACTTGTTACAACTTGATCACAATAAAGGGCCATTCAACCTCTTTCAGACGCCCAATGCCATCTTAAAGATTTTTCAACTAAACCGAATTAAATAACATAGACTGATGATCAACCAAACTATTGACAAAATCAGTATATCTAGGACCCAACCATTGACAAGCATCACTCCTAATTTTAGCAATTAAGCACTCAACTTGAACATCTTTACCTGCTAATTAAGTATGCCAGAACATACAACTTCTTAAACCAGTAGAGAAGTTTATCAAAGGAAACATCAAAAGTCAGAAAATTAGCCGAAAGATCATAAATTAACCAAAGACTAAAATGACTTTCATGTCTTCCTAGAGAAATTTAAAAACAATTCCGTGCAATGATAGGAGGGCAAAAGGCCGACTCCCCATTACTAACGTCGTAACACTATGCTGAAGAGGTTTCTTTACCAGTGTAAATATCCAATGCTTCAGTTATGTCATCAATAAACTATATCTCCATCTAGATTCCACAAACTGATTAACAATATAACAAGTCTTATAAAGTCACTAAACATAATCAAAACCATATAATTTCACATCATCCCTATTTCAGTGTAATAGGACACTTTCACCTGACATCAGTACATAGTATGTTTTCTCTGTGTTCATATTCATCTATAAGCGACATGTTACCAACAAATACAAATAGATAACATACAATTAAATCCACAATGAATGTGTAGTAGCTAAAAGAAAATGACCTGGGTAGGCTAATTCAAAGTCTTCCCTACTAACTCTTTCAAACTGTAATATGACTAAGGAGGCTATATTGAAGTCTTCCCACAAATTCTCAACAGTATTTCTGATTGGGTTTCTATCTAGAATGGGTCTCTCAACGCAGCATATGACAAATGTGTGAGATTAGGACCAAGTGATAAGGAACACCAAAAGACTTCCCTTTCCCTCGAAAGTTTTATCAATGTTTCCTATCAAAATTGGCTTTGCCGGTGCCTCCCAGCAACAGTATTACAGAAAATTATTTCAAGTTTTCAACACCAGGAGGGAAGGAGGCCTGCCCCTTGTTTTCGGCAACCTATAGTCCTATACTATTGACCTTGAAGAGGTATCACCATCTCACTACCATCAATCATAACCCTTGAAAGATCTCAAGGAGGTGTCCTAACTGTTAAGAGTAGTGGATCTGAACCCTTATTGATATTTCCAATCATAACATTCAGTATTCACCACTTGGTATAATGAAACAGAATATTATGTGGCAATATCTAGGTGTTTTAAGAATAAGATTAACATACTTAAATATATAGTATTTGCCAATTGGCGTGACAGTAATTTATATTGGTTAGACATGATGTGAAAATTGATGTTGTGATTACTGAGGAACTTGTGTGCATCAGCAATGTGGAGAGAAAATCTAACTAATGAGATCAAGGACAATAATGTATACGGACGAACAGACAAACCACAATATGAACATATTGAGACCGCACGCCAATAACATTCTAATTCTGTCTATTCTCTATTAGATTACGAGTATTTATCAGTCGTCAATATACTGTCATTAGTCTTCTTAAACGTACCTCTAATAGTAGGTCACTAGGGGAATTAAATCAAAAGTGATTTACTTAATTTGCTTGCTAATAGCTTAGCAGGCGCAAACTTGACTATTGTTCATATAAAAAACATCTAAAACAGACCGTAGCTCAAGCAGTAGCCCAACTAAAGAGCCAAGCTAGCTCATATAAGCATGACTTGAACATTTGCCTCAAAGGAATTGAACAATACACATTGCTTCTGGGATTGAGGTGGACATCATAGAAATAGAAGCTTAAGGACATTCATGACTTAAGAAAGATCACACTTTTACCTTCCGGGATAGAGGTGGACATCATACAACTGGAATTTTAAGGAGATTCAAGAGAAACTGACTTAATTTGGACACACATACACTTGCATACAGTGGGAATTCAAGCATATGTGCTACGGTATACTGAAAATGACCCTTTCCAACTTATGCTCTTCACAATATCATCATCATTAGCACTTTCAGCAGCAATCAACAAATAACTTTGCTCAATTGCAAGCTGTAGTGGAAACAAATATGCACTGAACAACAAAAAAAATAAGAAATAGCTTTCTCATTACCAATAGATAATGTTACAACAAGACACAACAACAGAATGCCATCAACCCAACAATATCACTCACATTTTTTCCATATGAACATATCTCTCTTTTAACCACTAATTACATCAACAAGGTACTTACTTTGAAGGTCAAAGCAAGACACATGAAAGGCAACTTGGATTGGGCCTGGCACTGCATTATCTTCACTCACAATTTGAGCATCTACCAACCTACATCCTATTCCGTCTCATGATGTAAACCTTCCCTTCTTTGGTTTGCCCCTGGTCATGAAAATCTGTAAGTTCTAGCAATAGTAAAACAAGTAACAATAAAGAGATCTTGAGATAGACATTGTTCAACGCAAACAGATAAGTTGGCTTTTTAGGCAAATGAGAAACCACACTTACTGTCCATTTGTAGGTAAGCCTCCACCCTTTGATCGTCCAGGACCAATATCTGAAGTTCAAATTAACAAAAAAGAATCTTAACCCATCAGACCAACATCATAAAAATTCTCTTTAAAGCGTAAAAGCTTGGTGGAAGCTCACCATCACGTCCACCTGCGTTCTCTTCAACCTGAACAACGACAAAATGTGAACAAAATGCTCCTTCCAAACAATTGCATAAAACACACACACACACACACTCAAAACAAAAAGGAATAAGATTTGGACTTTGTTCTATATAAATTAATAAGTGAAGAAAATGAATTTAGTTATATTCATGCTGATATGAGTAATATCTTGTTCACTCAATTTTCAAAGCACAAAAAAACGGGAATATGATGTACTCCTACAAGAATTCTTCCAGAGGACAAAAGGTTGTGCAAAGGTAAAACATAAGTCAATCTTCCATGTTTTGCCCACTTGTAAAAAGACAATTTTATGTCAAACCCAAAGGAATGTTTTATTACAAAAAGCCGGTATTACATAGATGTGGCAGGACATAATGCCTCACAATGTCACATACTTCGTAAAGATTGCAATGGAATACCTCCTAGTACAAGTGAGTGTGTGATTCAGATGGATAAATTTTGTGAAATAGGCAAGAAGCTAAATATGCAAATGAACAAGAAAAGGAAGATCACTGATAATCAAACATAGGCACTTGTTGATAAATTTGAAATTTAGGGCCTCGAAGAGGTGTCATTTACAACCCTTTCCTGGAGTCTGATTATACCTTACTGGTGCTACTAGCATCATCAGATCTACTTGTGTATTTAGCAACCTGCTGCCCATATAACTCCTGTCTTAGACCATAGCTGTTATGTAGAGATGTGGATTTTGGTTAGATATTAGTACACTAAACTACTAAAGCTACTACTGTCTAGTTGAGCACTGATACAGATTGGCTTGGATGAGTTAATCTAAGATATTACTTTCCATGGGCTAGATCTTACTCGGGCACACCCTCAGAAATAAATAATATCTCGTTTCTGAGTCCTACACCCCTTATTACTCCATACCAGGAGATAGCTTAAATGTCTTAGAGGTTACCCAAGTCTGGAACTATTTGCAAGTCCCTGTAACCTTTAAAGGGACATTCTGAAGTTTTTGCTCCTAAGTGACAAACGCACAAACCTTTTACATTTTAATTCCCTGGATGTATATAATTTGCCATTCTTGCCAAGGAAACTAGATACCTTGATTCCATTCACTCTTAAGACCTGTATTGAGTTCTTCGTTGCAAAAATCAACCCATTTTTCTCCTCCATGGCTCCATCAAAATCCTCCAATTGGAAACCTGATATAAATGATTTTTTCACCTACAAGATCATTTGTTGGTATTGCAAATTCACAAGTACTTCTATAAAGTACCCTAGGTAATGAACTCATCAGCAGATGCTCAATGCTTACACAACAGAAGCTCTAACTACCAATGCAATCGTACTATGAATAGAATCCCAAGACTTACATTCAAGCAGACTATGGACAAGAATCTGAATCTGAATCCTGTATTCGAAGGGCAAGGGGTCGCCACAGAGAAGAAATAGGAGCCACCAGTTTGATGGGAGGGGAGAAACAACACTGAATGGACTTACAAAGTATGCACAATAAAGGAATTTTGGAACTGTTGACCCCACCGGTGTTTAATCTGAGTCAGGCACACAACAAGTAAATTAGACCGACAGGTAGAGTGCTATAGACTCAGGGTTCAAGGTTCAATCACACAGTGCATACAAGAAGAAACAGAGGAAGCTTGGGACTTGAGATTAATTTTTCAAGAGTAACGGCTACAAAATTGCTCACCAGCTATTACTATAAAGCTGAAAGCTTGGAGGCTACACTACTACAGCTACTACTGCTAAGATTACACAAAACTCACATACCCTTTTCATCCTCTCGATTCTCTTATATACTAGACACTCCCCCTTCCCCAAGTAACCTAGCAAATAAAACAAGTTGTACTATTCTGCCAAATTGGCTATACACAATTACATTCCTTTACCATACTATTTAGTGGAATAATAATTAATTTTGTCCTCTTTTGCTGCTCTGAATACCTTGTCTGAAATTGCTTGATATTGCTGTCCTGCTCCTGTCTTCTTGCGTCTCCTTGAGTAAACTTGGATTGGGGTTGGATTAGGTTGATTCATAGCATTACTCCCCCCTGGAACATCCACCTTGTCCTCAAGGTGGAAGGATGGAAAACGCAAATTAATGGCCTCAAAATCTTCCCATGTGGCTTCAAACTCGGGCAACCCAATCCATTTGAGCAACACTTCAGTGCGGTTCCTGCCCTGTTCCTCCCTGGTGCGCACAGCCAGCACTTGTTCAGGTTCCACCTCCAACTCCAAGTTGGCAGTAAGCTGGGCAGGAATAGTGGGGTTGACTGGTGAATCCCCAACAGCTCGCTTCAACTGAGACACATGGAAAACCGAGTGGATTCTGCTGCTCTCAGGTAATCTCAGTCGATAAGAAACCTTTCCTACTCGTTGTATGACCTCAAAGGGCCCATAATAGCGTGCAGCAAGCTTCTCAAAAGGGCGGCTGGCCAAAGAGTGCTGTCTATAGGGCTGCATTCTCAGGTAGACCCAATCTCCTACCTGAAACCCCAACTCCCTTCGCTTACTGTCAGCGCTCTCCTTCATTAGCTGCTGTGCCCTGTTGAGATTCACCTTCAACTCATCCAAAATTAAATCCCTCTCCTTCAACCCTTCTTCCAAACTCTTCACCATGGTGGCATCATCTTTCATTTTCCAGATTTTAGGCAGGTCACGACCAAAAACCACCTTAAATGGAGTCATCTTTGTTGAGATATGTGGAGAGGTATTGTACGAGTACTCGGCCCGAGGCAACCATTGAGCCCAATTTTTCGGTTGATTGGCCACAAAACAACGAAGGTAGGCTTCTAAACATTTGTTTACCACCTCCGTTTGCCCATCCGATTGAGGGTGAAATGCAGTGCTACGATTGAGATGTGTGCCTTGTAATCGAAATAGCTCCTTCCAAAAGAGGCTCATGAAGACCTTGTCTCGATCGGAGACGATAGAGGATGGGAAACCATGCAAGCGGACTATCTCTTTTACAAACACATCGGCTACCTTGAGGGCATTAAAAGGGTGCTTAAGTCCCATGAAGTGGCTGTACTTAGACAACCGATCCACCACCACTAGGATCACATTAACCCCCTTAGAGAGCGGCAACCCCTCTATGAAGTCCATGGAGATGTCCTCCCACACCACTTCCGGCACGGGCAGTGGTTGCAATAGACCGGCAGGAGCTTGGGGTGTTGTTTTGCTTCTTTGGCAAACTTCACATAACCGCACATATTCCCCCACACCCTTCCTCATGTTCGGCCAAAACCAGTCCGTAGCCACCCTAAGATAGGTTTTCACCTCACCATCGTGCCCTCCCAAAGGTGAATCATGATACTCCTTTAAGAGCCTTGGAATGAATTTCGAATTCCTTGGAATGACCATGCGCCCTTTATAGAGCACCCTGCTGCCACATAAAGAGAACCCCCTGTTCTCACTTGGGTTTGCTGCCAGCTTGTTTCTCAGCTCATTAAGCCAAGTGTCACTGGATATCTCAACCTCTAACTCGGCCCAATCCACTCCCTGAGTGGAAACTAGTGTCGCAAGCTCCCCTTGCACCCCACCTTTCTTTGATAATGCATCGGCCACCCGGTTTGATGCCCCGGGTTTATATTGGATGTCAAAGTCCATACCCATCAATTTTCTCATCCACCTTTGATATTCTCCTCCCACCTCCCGTTGTTGGGTTAAGAACCTCAAACTTTGTTGATCGGTGCGAATGATGAACCTCCTTCCTAGGAGATAGTGCCTCCATTTCATGACCGCCAAACTAATAGCCATTAGCTCTTTTTCATAAATTGATTTAGCTCGATTCCTTACCCCAAGCAACTTGCTAAAGTAGGCTATTGGCCTGCCAAGTTGCATCATCACGGCACCCACTCCATACCCCGAGGCATCGGTCTCTATGACAAATTCAAGTTGAAAGTTAGGCATGGCTAGGACGGGAGCTGTGATCATAGCCGATTTCAAAGCCGAGAAGGCTTCTGATGCCTCTTGATTCCAACCGAAACTATCTTTCTTCAATTGAGTGGTTAAAGGCCCGGCTATTTGTGCATAATTAGCCACAAATTTCCCGCAGTACCCGGTGAGGCCTAGAAAACCCTTAACTCCTTCAAATTCTTGGGCTCCTCCCATTCCACAATTGCCTTCACCTTGTCCATATCCATTGCTACTCCTTCCTCCGAAATTACATGACCCAAATAAGCCACTTCCCTCTTCCCAAATTCACACTTCTTCAAGTTAGCATACAAGTGATGTTCAGACAACAACTCCAACACTAACTTCACATGCTCTCTATGCTCTTCCTCCCCTTTGCTATACACCAAAATGCCATCAAAAAACACTAATACAAACTTCCTCAAAAAAGGCTTGAATACTTCGTTCATTAGGGATTGGAAGGTGGCGGGGGCATTGGTGAGCCCGAAAGGCATCACCAAAAATTCATAGTGACCCTCATGCGTTCTAAACGCGGTCTTGGGAATGTCATCCTCCCTCACTCGAATTTAGTGGTACCCCGATTTCAAGTCAAGCTTTGAGAACCACTTTGCTCCATGTAATTCATCAAGTAGTTCGTCGATTACCGGAATAGGAAACTTATCCGGTACCGTCTCCTTATTCAAGGCCCAATAATCGACGCAAAACCTCCAAGAACCATCTTTCTTCTTCACTAGAATCACCGGGCTTGAGAAGGGGCTTGTGGAAGGTCGGATTATGCCCGCTTGAAGCATCTCTTGAATCAGTTTTTTTATCTCATCTTTCTGTATTTGAGGGTAACGATACGGCCGTACACTAACCGGATCGCTTCCCCCTTTTAGGACAATGGAGTGCTCATGATTCCGGTGGGGGGGGAAGCCCACTTGGCATGTCAAAAACAAGCTGGAACTGTTGCAGTAGGTCGGTTAAAAAAGGTGGTGGCTGCTGGGATAACTCTTCTGCCTCTTTCTCCATATCTTCCTTCCCCTCAATTCTGCTCAATTCTACCCAAAGGCCTTGCTTCTCTTTACATAAGGTCCTCATCATAGCCTTCAATGATACTTGTGTCTTTTCTAGGGATGGATCCCCTTTTAGAGTGATCAATTGCCCATTCTTCCAAAACTTCATGATGTGAGTTCTCCAGTTAGTAGTGACGGAGCCCAATTTTTCAAGCCATTGTATGCTGAGAATGAGGTCGGCATTCCCCAAAGCAAGCGGCAGGAAGTCTTCCTCCACCGCCACTTCACCATTTAATTTTACCTCCACGCCTTGACATACTCCCTGCCCCCTCACTATCTCTCCATTTCCAAGCGTCACACAAAAAACGCCCCCCTTTGTAATCGGCACTGCTGCATCAGCCACCAATTGGAGCGATATAAAATTATGCGTCGCTCCGGGATCTACCATCACCACCGTGTCTCTACCCCCGATGCTTCCTCTCAATTTCATGGTTTTTGGATTGAAAATTCCAATTACTGAACACAAGGACGCACCTAACTCCTCGGCCACCGCCGCTTCCTCCTCCTCTTCTAGTGTCGCTTCTTCCTCCCCTGCCACCAAGAGCACGCTCATCTCCTTCCTCTTACACCGATGACCCACTCCCCATTTTTCATCACACCTAAAACACAAATTCTTTGCCCTCCGTTCTTGAATTTCTGCCTCTGACAAGCGGCGCGTGAGCCCAGTTCCTCGGCTTTGAGAATTTCCCGATGAAGCTGCCATGTTAACAGAGCCTTGCGATTCAGAAGTTTTGATCCACGTTTTGGGGGTGGTGTTTGAGTTGGAGTGGTTTGGAACTCCATAAGTCTGGACCAAACCTGAAGCCCCATATTTTGGTGGGTTAGGAGTCACAGACGAGCTTTGGGCCGGCCCATTTCTAGCTCCCAAAGCTGGAGCCCTTTTAATTTGTTGAACCCGATTTTTTTCTTCGATCCGACCCGCTAGCTCCATGGCTCCTTCCAAATTAAATGGATTCAACATACGGAGCTCCGATTTGACTTCCTCTTTCAACCCATTTATAAACTAAGCTAGCATGTTGTTCTCAGGGATTCCCTCTAATGGTGCAGCCAACTCAATATACCTTCTCCGATATTCCACCACCGTACCCACCCGTTGCACCGCTAACCACTGCTCATATAACGACCCGGAGTGAGAGGGTCGAAACTCACACAACAGCCTTTGCTTAAGGTCCAACCACCCGCTAATCGGCCGCCTCTTCTTCTCCCATTGAAGCCATTTTAAGGCATCGCCATCCATGGCCACTACGGTAGCTTCCAACTTCTCTCTCTCTTGTAACTGATAAAACTCAAAGAACATTTCAGCCCTTAGCAGCCAGTTGTCGGGATCGCGCCCACGAAAATTGGCATGTCAAGCTTACGGTGTTTCCAGTGATTTCTATTATCACCGTCGCCTTCTCCGCCACCGCCTCCTGGCCAGTGATGAACTCTAACGGCTCCTCTTCGCCGAGCCCTCCCCCTCTCCAGCCTCTCCTTATCGGAGTGCGCACTTCATTCTCTCCCAACCCTTGGTTGTGGCTACCTTCACCCTCCAGGTTAATGGGCTGGTTAAGCACCGGTGGTGGTAGAGGAGGTCGGTTTCCCTGACCTCCACCTCCGGCGGCTCTCTTCAACTCCTTCTGAACTTCAAGTTGTTCTCTTTCTCGATGGCCGCTAAACGGTCGTGCTCCATCCGGAAACGATCCAGCCGCTCCTCCAAACGATGGGTGGTTCTGGCCAGATTCTCTTCGGTTCTCTTCCTCTCGGCCTCCAATATTCCGGCCACCGCCGCCTGAATCGCCTTCTCGATGGTGGCCTCCTGGTTGTCGAGCTTCTCAGCTATCGTTTTGAGGTGAGTTACTTGTATCCCAAATTTCTGTTCAATGGATTGCAATCGGCCTTCTATCTCCCCGATTTTCTCATCGGCGGCGTCGGCGCGCTGGGACAGCGTTGGGGTCACCATGTCGGAATTGCTCTGATACCACTTGCTATAGACTTTCAGGGTTCAAGGTTCAATCACACAGTGCATACAAGAAGAAACAGAGGAAGCTTGGGACTTGAGATTAATTTTTCAAGAGTAACGGCTACAAAATTGCTCACCAGCTATTACTATAAAGCTGAAAGCTTGGAGGCTACACTACTACAGCAACTACTGCTAAGATTACACAAAACTCACATACCCTTTTCATTCTCTCGATTCTCTTATATACTAGACACTCCCCTTCCCCAAGTAACCTAGCAAATAAAACAAGTTGTACTATTCTGCCAAATTGGCTATACACAATTACATTCCTTTACCATACTATTTAGTGGAATAATAATTAATTTTGTCCTCTTTTGCTGCTCTGAAATTCTTGTCTGAAATTGCTTGCTATTGCTGTCCTGCTCCTGTCTTCTTGCGTCTCCTTGAGTAAACTTGGATTGGGGTTGGATTAGGTTGATTCATAGCATAGAGCCCCTGTCTTCAGTGATCTTACATTGCTAGCTATTCATAGGTAATTAAGGCCTATGCATAACTAAGGATATTGGTTCATGTAAGAGCAGAACAGACTACAGAGTAACCACTGACCCCGCATAAACTGTGGCACAAGCTCTCATAAATTTTCTTGGTGAGAGTGAAGACCTAAATGCTAAATAGATCAGCAAGCAAAAATTTGGCAATTTCATAAAATTTACTAATTAATTTTGTAAGGTTGTAATTACAATTTGATTCGCAAATGTCTCTGAACAAACTGACATGGACTCAATTTAGTGATACTCTTCATCCAAATAGCGAAATTCAGTGAGCCCCTACTTGTATGATGAGAAAGTGATGGTTACACATAGCATAATCCCTTATACTTTGTACAAAATTCTATACTTTAAAGCAGAATTATCAACAAAGATACTTTGGCCAGTAGGGAAATATAGATAATTCACTGTCAAAGTAGCAGAATAAAAATTTACGTACAGCAGGCGAGGTGACAGAAGACAAAGAGAAGATTCTATCTTCTGGTTGAAACTTCCTGGGCCTCTTCAAGCTACAGACAAAATTAAAGAAGTGATTCTTACAAAATCCAGAACCACATTCTAAAGTATATGAATGTAAAAAATTAAAGAGGGGGGGGGGGTGCTCTCTACTGAATTGGGCGTAGAACAGTCCATTGACAGGCCCTGCAAGTTAGCTTTTCCCAGAAACATGTTTTCTTCCCGAGATTCTAAATTTGGGCATCATTCAACCAACTTACTCTATAATAATAGGCAAGCTTCAAGCATTTTGTGTGTGTGTGTGTGTTTTGATAGTAAGCATGTTGTTTAGTAAGCATGTTGTTATCTAATAGTACGGTTACAGCAAAAGTAATAGCTTCCTAGACAACCTGCACTTACAATAGCTAAGAAGCCTCTCAAGGTTGGGATGCATCTCACTCTTTCTTTCACTTTCCCTCTATGTGTGAGTAAGTGTGTGTGTGTGTCTGCCCATGAATACACGAAAAAAGCCTTTCAGGGGTAATCCACGTCTCCACCTTTCAGAAATCTACATTCTATATAATTCTTTCTCCTCAGTCGGCTATCTATTTGTTTGCCTCGTTTGATCAAGCTATCTATCCTCTTCCATCTCCCTTCTACTAAAAAGTATTATCCTCTTATTCCATTTTTTTCAACCCTTTAATTTAGATATAAAAATATACTTCCTGATAACACTACAAAATCCTGCCCTTCATTAATCCATTTTTCTTTCCCCTCAATACTTGTATGAAAATAAAGAGATACAAGTCATACAACCATTTATGGTCAAGTGTAATAAATAAATAAATAAATAAAACAGAAACATTAAAACATATTTTAACTTGTACTTTGTTGCAGACTTTGATGAACCTAAGAACCCTTCAAAACCTTTCAAAACATGCCCAAAATGGTTTGAATCTTGCAAATAGGTGGTCTCCAACTCGAACACCTACCAACATGTAAGCGAGCAAAAAAGCTTCAAATTAAATGCACAGTACTGCAATGCACATTATTACATATTTCAATTAGGAATGGATACCTGTTTTTCAATATTCCGAAGCTCATCTTGAAGCTTTTCTCTCTTTGTCAAAAGGCTTGCAAGCCTAGCTCCCGGATTCGAAGCTTTTTGCCCTGTAATTAGTTTCACCAAAACTTATTGTTTACTCCCTACCCTCATAAATCAAGAAGATTACGAAGGCGTTACCATTGGCTTCCATGGGCATAGATGCTCCTCACCAAAACTTCCAAATTAAAGTAGATTCTGCCTTTGTTTCACTGACTTTAATTTCCTCAAACAAAAAGTTGGTACTTCTGAAATCACCAATTCAAATACAAAATTAGTTCATTAAATATAAATACCGCTATTTTATCATTAAGGAGTACTATTTTTATTTCAATTAGCATTTTTAGCAAAATATTCAATGTACATGCTTGCGCTTTATTATCTTCAGATACATACTGCTGCACATAATTTAATAAATTATGAATAAAAATGTTACAGAATAGTACTCCGTATTTAAAACGAGGCAAAATTAACAAGATCTCACTTGAATATATTTTTAATTACTTCGGAGTATTGTTAATGAATAACTTGATACTAGGTAAAATTAACAAAAGGGTTTACAATATATCTATGAAAAACTATGGTCAAATTCAATTATATTACCCTTTTTTTTTAAAAAAAAAAATACAGTGTTAGTAATTGTTACAGTACTGTAATAATTAACAAACTGCCTTATCTAATTAAGTTACTAATTCACCTAACATTTTTCTGCTAATCCATTAAATTTGTAGAAACAGAATATAAGAGCAAATTGAAACCCTAATTCCCAAACAAGCTCAAAGTTCAAACCCATCAACAACCAAACTCAACAATTGAGCAAATCAATTCAGCAATTACTGGTAATTAACAATCAAAACAATTATCTTATTTAATGTCATCCAATACAAATTATTAAAAGAAAGTTGTGATAAACAGTAATAATGAGCAAAATTCAGAATTCTGAAGCAAAGATTGAACAAAACAAAGATAACAATCAATTATTAAAAATAAAAATAAAAAAAATAAAAAGAAAACTAACCAAAAAACTGGAAATTAGATATAATAATAATCGATTATGAGACTGAAGTGAGGGAGTGGATATAGCTATGGTTAACGGCTCCCTGTTTAGTTGTGAAGGGAGAGTTTCTGGAGAGGAGAGAGAAAATAATAATCAACTTTTTTTTTTTTTTTCCCACAAGTACGAGTATGTACGAACTACTTCGTAGTTGAATTTTTATTTTAAAAAAAAAAATCAACTTCACTTTCTTGACCATAAAAAAGAAACCTTCTTTAAAAATAAAAAAAAATAAAAAATAAAAAAATCCCTTCTTGACCACTTTCAAGGTTCAATAAGCAACGAAAAGATAAGGTGGTGGACTAGTGAGCTAGAGTCTTGTGGGATAACTCTAAGGAAATGCATGTGTCAAGAGATAGTGGGATAACTGTGCCTCTGGTTAAAGCTTCTTTTTCGATTTTAAGAGACCTTAGAATCGCTTCTCATCATCAACCGTTATAGCCCTCTAAAAACACACACACACCAAAAAAAATGCACACATCAACAATAAAGCAAAGGTGAATTCAATTGGATCCTTTTCTTGAATCACTTCCTTAGAAAGAGCATGTTTTTACCTGACTCTATCTTTTAAGTTAATTGACATTACTTTAGTTCTGCTTATTAATACTTCCTCCGTTCTTTTTTTATTGCATCATGAGGGATCTCACGCTTGCCAATTCATTACTTTAGCTATTAATATCTTCAATTATACTTTTGTAAAAATTATAAAAATTTGATATTTGAAAAGATGATTTTGAGACGAATCTAACTAGATCCCACATGACTGTATTTATCCTAACGGATAAATCACAAATGATGTTCAAAGAAGATTAAGTGAATAGTGTAAAAGTCCTAATAGTGCAATAAAATAAAAACGGAGGAAGTATGAAGTAACAAACTATCTTAGGTAAACTCTATCTCTATATGACATTACTTAAAATATTTGTTGTGCGAAAGATACTTTATCGTAGATTGCGTACAATAAATCAAGTAATTTTATTAAATCGGCGTAATGCTCAAAGCTTTACAATGGCTTTGTCTTATAATAATTCATACGTCGTTGACAAACTCGAGTCTTTTGTTCATTTGTATGGCCATCGTTGTCGCCAAAACCCCTTGCGTTCTAGCATCTGACGCGGAACATAGAGGATTAAACTGGTAGTTCAAGTTTCGGGTGTTTGACGTCTAATGCTATGTCTATTATGCCCTTGCTTCATTTGCGTTGGTGTCTTTTTGAGTGAAGGTTTTCCTCATCCTTTTTAGGGATGATAATATAACCAACGCCTTTGTGCTTTGTGTAAGACTGTTGTAGAAGCTTCAGTCATGACTTTTTTTTGCTATTTGATATGTTTTACGTCGATGATCATCCTACAAGACCAACACAGTTAGGATACCGTTGACCAACGGCTCCCCGATACTTAAGTCAATACAAGTCGTTGAATAAATAAGATAGTGGAAACTTGTAAAAAAATAAATAAAGTAGAATAGGGAGCATATTACCTTGTCGTCGACAGTGAACTTTAGTGTGTTACTTAGGGCCTGTTCTCATTGACTGAATTCGGCTGAACTGAACTGAACTGAACTGAGCTGAACTGAACTAAATATTTTATAAGAGAAGGAAATTAGGAGCTGAACTGAGCAGAAGTGAACTGAATTTCAACGTAAGAGAACAGACCCTTAGAAAAAATAGTTTTTGAGGTTGGTGGCGTTCCAACTCCTTGAAACGACTTTACCATCTTTGTTGCAGAGCCTAAATGCTCCTGTAATACCTCGTATTTTTATACATTTTATTAATTATTAATTAATTATTTTTATAAAGGTAATTTTGAAACAATTATATATATTTAAGTATATGTGAAGGTGAAGTAACTTACTTACCGTGATACTTTATCTTCCACCCTACACCATTAAAATTCCATATCCATCTCAACAAAAAATTCACAATTTATTTTTATCAATGAAGTGTAGAAACTAAAAATCAGCTTAATATAATCAAACAACTTTAGATTAATATGCAAATTGAATTTCACATCAAACAATTTCTAAACACCCCCTAAAATGTACTCCATATCAACCATTGTGAAAAAAAAAAAAACCAACTTGGTAATAAACACAAAGTTTCCCACAATCATATTTTGAAAAATCAAAATAAAACTCATCTAATGTTCATTCAACTCCAAAATTGAGAGTTGAGACAATCAAATCCACAATGACACTCGTCTGAAAGTAGTCCCCATCTCAAAGGAATCATATTCTGCAATTTCAATCAAATTCTAACCGACCCACTTTCTTTGTTGGGTGCCTACTTTTTTGCTCTTCTTTTATTTCTCACATTTTCCTCTCTCTTCCCTTTAAATTTTGAATCTTGTACAGTAATTCCCCCTTCTTCTCGCTGCAAAACTAAGCAACTATGGCTTTCAGAGGGGTAAGCTTTCTTTTACCCATTTCATGCTTTCACTTATTTTTATCATTTGGGTGTTTATTAATTATTCAAATTATACCTTGCATGTTTGATTTTTATGATCTTATCAAAATATGATCTTGTTATGAATCTGGTTTTAGCTTGTTGGGTTTTTGTTGGTTCACTGTGATATTGGATCATACATCATTCGATTTGAAGTTTTGGACTTTTGGTTATCTATTGTTCGATTTTTATATATGTAACCCTAAGCGCTATGTATAAACATTAAATATTCGGAGTACTAGGTATTAGTTTAAGATTTTTTTAAGATTTTATCTATTGTTAATTAATTGTTTAATGTACTCTTAGCTTCTTATAGAGTTGTGTAATCATTTACTTTCTTTTATAAAGATTGATATTGGAAGTGAGTTTTTATACAAGTATTATATTGAATCTTGTTTTGCAATTTTGCATGACTTATGGCTGAAAGGGGTTTTTGATTGTATACTTTTTTTGGGAAGATTCATTAGTGGTATAGAATATTATGAATTTAGTCTCTAATATGTAATGGAAAACATGGGATCAAATGTTTCTGAAAATCATATTATGTGTGAAGTTGAGGTTGAATGGCCTACTTAAGAGACTAATTGAACTTAAATGTTATGCATTGGATGGAAAAATGTATCATCTGTTTGGTTTACTAAATAGATGTAGGAATTGTACAACCTTTTAAGCACCCTTGCTGTTTAAAAGTGATTGTATCGACTTGGAGAAATGGTTACAGTCTTGGATTGTTCTTATTTATGTCATTCAGATAATCCATATAATTTTTAGAATCGTAAACTATTACTTGTATAAAAGATTGTTCGTTCAACACAAATAACTATGGAGGATTTGTGTTATGCATTGCCTTGATTTGAGTACTTAATTTGAGAATGTGGATTACTGAATTAGTTTTGGCTTGCAGAGGAATGCTCAATCTGGAATAGGAGTTGCTGAGCACACCAAGAACACATTTACGGAACTGCAGAGGAAGAAGATGCACCGTTATGTGGTGTTCAAGATTGATGAGAAAAAGAAGGAAGTAGTTGTGGAAAAGACTGGAGGACCAGAAGAAAGTTATGATGATTTTCTTGCATCGTTGCCTGAGAACGATTGTCGCTATGCAGTTTATGATTATGACTTTGTGAACTCTGAGAACTGCCAAAAGAGCAAAATCTTTTTCGTAGCATGGTTAGTATTTTGTACCACAATATTCTGATTGATTTTAGTAAGCTTCCACCTTCTAACCTATGTTTTCCCTCCGTAATTGGAAGTTGCTGCAATTATTTAAGTTAAAAATCGGAGTTATGACTTGTATGTCTGATCTGAAGCAGCAATATATTTTATTTTTAATTAGCGTCTTAGCATTATTGTTGATGATACAACAGGATTTAGCTATCTTTAATTGGTCTTGTAGTTGCACTAATCTTTGGTAGCTTTGTATGTCATCCAATTAATGCACTCAAATTTGTATGTCTTAATTTGCAAGAGATCTTTAGCTGTTTGAGTGTATCAGTGAGTTGTGTAGGTCATTGCTGCTGCTGTAAGCTAGAAGTATTACTAGTGCACAATTTACTTTGCTTAAAAGTTTCTTACCTTTTGGCTCTTGCAAATCGTCGCATGATTAATTCTAGTCACCTCCAGCTTACAATGAATTTCAAAAGGCTTGACATGAACACTGCACATGCAAATGTAACATTATTATCTTATTGTTCAGGTCCCCATCAGTGTCCCGCATTCGCTCCAAGATGCTCTACGCAACTTCTAAGGACAGCTTGAGGAGGGAACTGGAAGGAATCCACTATGAGATTCAAGCTACTGATCCATCTGAAGTGGATGTCGAGACTCTTCAGGACAGAGCTAAGTGATCAATTTCTCGATATAGCTAATGAAGGGACCTTTTTGTTCTTATAGTAATGCGAACTAATTGCGTATGCTTTGAGACAAAGATGCATATACCTTACTAGCTTGGTCAATAAACAACTTGGTAACCCGGGGAGTCTGATTAGGAGCTGTTTCTTTTGCTGTCCTGACTTAGGGGGGCTCTTTTGGTTCCTGAGTACCATGATGCTTCCCTAATCCATGAAAGTTGTAATCCCAACTTACTCTCTATGTATCTGTATGTTATCTTTTTTGCATTTTTGTATCGTATTGACTGTATGACTGTATGTATTGGTCTCCATGTTTTGATGTTCTTTGACGTTCTTTGGTGACATGTTGTGGAATGATACAATTTCTTTATTTCATTGAATATCGATTGGTCATGAGAACTTATAAGCTTTGGTATCAAAAGAAGAAAAGTGTTCGAGTTGATATGGAAACCATGAAGGTTGTTTTGGAATCTATACTTCCAAGTTATTTCAATGTTTTGTTTTGTAATACAAGTAGTTGTTTGAATCAGGCTTGTTGAAAAAATGGACAGTTTACTCCCAATTTACTAGGTTGGTAATCATTCAATTAGAGTTATAGACTAGAACATTATAATTTACAACTAATAAAGGGATAGTTTACATTTGTATTTTCATCTGATAGAATACAAGTTAAATAATGATCCTTTGCTCTGTTTGAAAAGTTAATGAATTAATTTTTTAATCGCAACGTATTTCTATTTGGAAAGTTGTAAAATACAATAATTGCATCGCTTTGTATTGCTCTCATCTCCTTAAATTTCATGTGTGAATAATAATAAGATACACATGGGTTTTGGGCCCTCTTCATCCATACCAAATACTTTTAATTTTCTGATGCAACCAAATACTTTTAATTTGATAGTCCTTTAATTATTGAAATTGTCACATATTCTCTTGATACACATTTTAATAAAGATTTAAATATTGGCTTTCCAACCTTCTCCACAAACCAACATTAGTAAATTTAATTAGCCTGTTTACTTAATCTAACTTCTTTCTTAAAATGAGTACTAATGTCAATGTGACATGAGACAGAGTCGATGTTAAAGTTAGGGCATGTTCATATTTACTGAAGACCTGAAGTGAGCTGAACTGAACTGAGATGAAATGAATTTTTTATGAGAGAGGAAAATTAGGAGCTGAATTGAACTAATTGGAGTTGAACTGAAATTAAGTAAATGTCAACAGACCCTTAAATCATTTGCGATTTTTATGATTGGGAGGAGGGAAAGATAGGTAAACTCCACCCACATACACTAGTAGAACTCAATTTTGAAAACTCAAAGTTACCTAGTTTAAAAAATAAACATACACAAGTGGATAGCCTTGAACTTGAGACTTTTCTCAAACTTTTTATCTTGTAGTTTTTTTTTTTCTTCTTATAGGTTTGCGGTTCACTAATAATTGTATTTATTTTTTGATGCTACTAATTAGGAGAAAAAATTGTGCCTCACTGGCTCGATGTGACACTGTTGGCAACTTTTATGATGGTTGATGAAAATGCATGACCAGTTTGTTTTATAGACAACCTTTTTCCTGTGTTTATCCTTTGTTCAATTGTCCCAACTGTTTTTTTCGCAAAAATAATTTTTATTCCATCACCCATTATTGCATTATACGTGCAACAGCTTGTATTATTATTATTGAAAATTAATTGATGTGAACCGTAGTAGGGTTTGCTAAGTCGGCATTGATGATGTTGATTGGTCTTGGAAAAATGTGGGCATATTTCTAGTTCAATTGACTGTACTCTCCTCCGTCCTTTTATTAGATTCATATTTCTACTCCCTTCGTCCCTAAATTACATTCCTCTTTCTAGCATTTATTCCTCATATAATAGAGAGAAAGAGGAATGTAATTTAGGGACGGAGGGAGTAATATTTATTCATCACATAATAAAGAGAAGTAGGAATCTAATTAAGAGATGGAAGGAGTACCAATTTTGATAAGATTATGTAGAATTGAATTTGGGATATTGGACAAGTCTATACTATGCTTTCCTTTTCCCCAAAAGAATATGTAGAATGACACTATATTAATCATATATAAATGGACCAACATCAGAACATGCACAATAAGACAATACCATATACTTGTATTTAACAAAAGAAAAAAAAAAGTTAGGTAATCTATCTAATTAACAATAATAATTACTTTATACGGATTGCTATATTTTCAGTAGGTATATATTGTAGAATGACATTATATTGCTATAGTAACAAATATATTTAGGATTTGTTCTTATTTACTGAAATGAACTAAAATAAATTGTTTACGAGAGAATAAAATTGGAAACTGAATTGAAATGATTGGAGCTAAACAAGCCCTTAAACTAGTGCATAGAGACATACTATAAAAAATTGGTAAATTACACTATTTTTTTTTGGTGAAGGATTGGTAAATTACACTATGACTCTTCTATCATCAATTGGTTTTATTACTTTTATAATATAATAATGCATTCATCATTAAATATCTCATTTTGAATATCTTATCATTCTTTTCTTCTCTAACTATCGACTACGTATATGTGCCATTAATATCTCCAATTACGAATAAGGATATTTTTTTTGACAGGAATTACGAATAAGGATGAAGTATTGAGAATTTAGAATAAGTGCCATAAGGGCCAATGTCCCATATTAAGTCACTTTCTGAAGTCATAGCGATTGAATTTACCCTTAAAATTCGTTATATAGATCCGTACAAAGTGCAAGGATTCTGGAAAGATCTTTGATGCTACGAGCACATCCAAATCTTGATGGATGAACATTCATGATATAAAATCATGGACAAATAAATAAAGAACAAAACAAAAAAAAAAAAAAAAAAACAAAAAGTTGGATTGGATAAGATATTTAATTATTATTAAAATAGATCAATAGTAAAAATATTGATTCACATGCATGAATATACGGACCACCCATGCTACCCATCATTATTGTATTAATATTATTATTAATAATTTTAATAAAATAACAAAAAATTGTCAATTTTTCTTAATTGGGTATTACTTTTGTCATTACTTACTCCACAAAGATCTTGTACTCAGATCTCCAGTTTCTTCTTTTAGCTGCTCTCTATCTCTATTCTCTCTCCTATTGAAAAGGTTTGCATTTCATTAGATTCTAATTGGTTCTTTTATGTCTGAATTTCATGGGTTTTGAGAGACTTTTGATTAAGAATAGTGGGTTTGTGTAAATTGATTGAATAGTTAACTAAGTTGATGGGTTTTTTGGGTTGATGTTTGATTCATGATTTTTGTTGGGTTTGTTAAAGTTGGGAACTTTAATTGATTTTAATCAAGGGTTTGTGGTAGAATCTAGAAATTTAGTTAGTGATAGTCTATTATTGATAAGTACTATTGCGAGTAAGTTATGGTCTTACCTGATCAAGCTTTAATTTGATTATGGAAGCAATTATATATTATTATTGTGCATAATTTAAGTCAAAGATGAATAGTTCTTAGCTTGTTTATTATTATGCTAGCTTGTATTATTCATCTTATATAATTGTTCTAGATTGGACACATATGGAGTTGTTTGAGCTAATATTCAATTGATTGGGGTATATAATTGGAGATTTGCTGGAATAATTTAATAATAGTGATGATGATTGTAGGAAATTATATATAAAGCATTGTCTGAACTAGTTAGTACGTTGTATTAGATATGGGGAGCAGCTCTAAGACTATAGTTTGGTTTAGAAGGGATTTAAGGATTGAAGACAATCCTGCCTTGGCTGCAGCAGCCAGGGATGGTAGTGTATTGCCTGTGTACATATGGTGTCCAAAGGAAGAAGGGCAATTCTACCCTGGCCGAGTTTCGAGGTGGTGGTTAAAGGAATCCTTGATCCATTTGGATCAGTCATTGAGGTCACTTGGTGTTGAACTCGTGTTGATTAAGGCGGAGAGTACCCTTGATGCCATGTTGGAATGCATCAATGCCACTGGCGCGAATAAAGTGGTGTTTAATCGCCTTTATGGTGAGTTTCAATTACTAATTCATGTTTGATTATGCTTATTTGCAAGTTTTTTGTAATTCATATGTTTTTTATACTGTTATGAGCATTTGGTTTATAGGATTAAGTTGTCTTTAGTACAGGATTTTGTTGTAATACTAACAAGAACTATGTTTTGAGTAGATAGCAATCATAGGAACTATAGTTCAGACTACCCTGCCACTATGAGAAACATTATGGAACAGAAAGTGAGGCTTAGAGGCTTCATGGTGTTCAGGCTCTGATTTTACTTATAACTGATAGAAAAGGTTATAATAGTGTAGATTAAGAATCTTTTTATTAACAAGGATTTGGCTATTTGGCGATCTTAACTGTGCATAGCTAAGTTTAGGCCATTGAAATCTTTCTTGTGCACGAACAGCAAGTATTGCTTGATGTTCTTTATCGATCTTCTCTCTTTTAGATAGAGATGCAGAAAGATCAGTGATGTTATGGTAGGGAAAGAAGGAAGAGATGCAGGATTCTGCTCAGTTATTTATCCTCTGCTGTATTATTATTGATAATTGGAGATGATTACATTGTGCCTGTTTTAAATATAGTTATAGACTTCTTGGAGGAAAATAGTGTCAATGGTAATATTTTTATATCATTGATTTGGATGGAAGCTCTTTCATTCTAAATTGACAGCGCTATTAACAACACTCCGTCCTTTGTAGCCGTGGCTTATATTGTATTCTTGAAATTAAATTGCATTTTCTTGCAGATCCTGTTTCACTTGTTCGTGATCATAACATCAAGCAGAAACTTGGAGAACTAAACATTTCTGTGCATAGCTATAATAGAGATTTGTTGTACGAGCCATGGGAAGTGTATGATGAAAAAGGACATGCTTTTACGACATTCGCTCCTTTCTGGGACAAGTGCCTGAACATGCATATGGATCCCGCTTCATTTCCTACTCCATGGCGTCTTGTGCCAGCAACAGGTTCATAATTTCATCATGTACTCCATTCATTCCATATCAATCTGACTTCATAAGTAACCGTTTTTACATAATAACATCTGTCATAAGATTAAATCATGCATTGTTATCTGTCAATTTATGTCACCAGTGTGATATTACTTGTCAGTTTTTAATGCATATTATTACTACCTTCATAACCTTATAATTCAATAATAAAAGAATGGAAGGAGTACAATTTATAGTAAGGAATTTTTTTTTATTAATCAGTGATTATTATCTGACAGGATCATTCAAGAAGTTTTCAATTAGGGATTTGGGTCTTGAGAATGATTCAGAAAAATCGAGCAATGACTTGTTAAAAAGAGCTTGGTCTCCAGGTTGGACCAATGCTAATAAGGCACTCACGGAGTTTGTTGAGCAGCATCTGCTTGAATACTCAAAATGCAGGGTAAAGGTTGGAGGGAATTCAACATCACTGTTGTCCCCTTATCTGCATTTTGGGGAGTTGAGTGTAAGAAAAGTTTTCCATAGTGTGCAAATGAAGCTGATGGTGTGGGCAAATGAAGGGAACAGTTGTGGTTTGGAAAGTGCAAATATGTATCTAAGGGCTATTGGATTCAGAGAATATTCTCGATACCTTTGTTTTAACTTCCCGTTCACCCATGAAAGATCCTTGCTGAGCAACCTGAAGTATTTCCCTTGGAATTCAGATCAGACGCTTTTCAAGGCTTGGAGACAAGGTCGAACTGGATATCCACTGGTTGATGCGGGAATGAGAGAGCTTTGGGCAACTGGGTGGACTCACAACAGGATGAGAGTAATAGTGGCAAGTTTCTGTGTGAAATTTCTGCTGCTTCCTTGGAGGTGGGGAATGAAATACTTTTGGGATACACTTCTGGATGCTGATTTAGAATGTGATATACTAGGTTGGCAGTATATCTCTGGGAGCTTACCAGATGGTCACGATCTACACCGTCTGGATGACCCAGAGGTACGTACATTAGCTGCTTCAGTTAACCCCCTCTGTTAAATAACAGTGCCGCTTGCTATCAGGATTCTAGTGTTCAGTTAATATGATAAAAAGATGCATCCTTTGTTGTTTACATGTAAATAGATGATGTTGCTTATTTCTCTTTCTCTGTCTATGCTCTCATGGGCATGTTTATGTTTCTAATCAGTTATTGACGTTGAGCTAAGCTATGCAGTGAGATTAGGCTTTGTCCCCCCCCCCACCACCACCACCACACCCACACACGCACCAAAAAAAAAAAAAAAAAAAAAAAAAAACCCTTAATCTGAACTTATTACTTCTTAATGAAGTTAAATGGCTCTTTCCTGAAATCCTGAACTTATCTAAACTTGCCGGCCCTTATTTACATGTGACTGCAATTCTAGTTCTGAATTGAACTTGGGTACTATCAACCTTATTGATCTGAATTTATTTTACTAGTACCTGAAACTTATGTGAGTATTTTAAATGCCTAACAAATCTCTAACAAGATGCTTTCAAAATCCATACTAGCAAACACATAGTTCTTTGCTGCCCTATAGATATACAGAGTACATTTTAGGCTAATAATAATTATATATTTTTTAAATTTTTTTTAATCTTGCTACCCTTAATGTTGTGCCAGCTTCAAGGTTCTAAATATGATCCGGAAGGGGAATATATTCGGCAATGGCTACCAGAACTAGCAAGAATGCCAGCAGAGTGGATTCATCATCCATGGGATGCACCTGCTACAGTTCTAAAAGCTGCAGGAGTGGAGTTGGGATTCAATTATCCAAAACCAGTCATTGAGATAGACACAGCCAGAGAAAATCTGACCGAGGCCATATGTTTGATGCAAGGAAAGGCAGGAGCTGAAGAAACAAATGGCACAAATGAAGTTGTAGTCGACAGCTTCGAGAAGGGTGGAAACACAGGAGATACAAGGTTTGATAACTCTGAAATTTTCAGGAAATCATCTATACCAGAGGTTGTCTTGAATGGAAAACCAAGTTGTATTAGTGGGTCATCTCGTGATCAACGGGTTCCCTCTATGCAAAATATGACTAATAATCTCTTGCCAAATGGGAAGAGACCGAGAATTACTGTAGAAGATCGAGCACCTGAACCTAATATGAATGCTTGCTATGAAAATACTGAAGCACTAAGTGTCCAGGAAGAAGACATGTGCTCTACAGCTGAATCTTCATCAGCTAAGAAACAGACGACCAGCAGTTTTTCCTTCTGTGTCCCACATGGTTGTTCTGTATCATCAAAAGGAAAGGAATTGTTAGATTGCGAATCTTCTGATGTGAAGCCACCCTGGAAAGAACATGTAGATGAAGAGTAGAGTTCAAGTTGGGAAGGTTTATACTGTAGTTTCTCTCAGAATAATCCCTTTCTTAAGAAGAATAGAGAGCACTTAGACAATCTTAGCAGCTGCAGGAACAGCTGCGCGGTTTTATAGTTTACAATACAAGCCTTGTTCGGATGATGAAGTAGCCATACAAAAAGCAAAAAAACAGAGTTCAAGTGAAGGTGGTCAGTAATGCTGTTTCCTTTATATACTTGATGTGTTATGGTTTGCACATTCTGATGTAAGATTATTTAGATATGTCCAACTTGCTGTTCCATTCGACTTATGTCAATTAGCATCATGACATGTTTATAAGGAATACAAATTATGTTGTTTTCTTGACTTCTAATTTAACTTCTTATTGCTAGTTAAATGTATAAAGTTTGATTTGTTTCCGTAGGTTTGATGCTCCTTCATGAAATTTGAACAAGGGCTCAGGTTCTTTATGTGAATTACGCGGTACAGTACTATGGCACTACCTTTGTTACAAGGTTTAGAAGTCTTTGATACAAGGTTCTTGGGTGTTTTTAAGACCCCCTTCACACACAATTCTCATATAGGAATTATTTCACGAGTTCAGAGTGGCTAAGATGGGTGCAGCAGGTAATGAAACTGCTAAAACTTTAGTGTGATTGGTAAGAACTATGCCTCGGAAGAGTAGTAAGACCGTAAGAGGTGTACAGATCCCTGAGACTTGGTAAAACCGGCATCTCATATTTTGAATGGAACCACCTGACTTGATCCAAATATGAAATACGACATAGATCCAGCTTGTTAATTTAATGTGACTAAATTTGATTTGTTATCTGAGTTTGCAAGACAACAATAGATACCAAACCTAAATGGACTACATGAAAACGAACTGTATGACTCATCACCTTAGTATGATTAGAATCGATTTTGATGTGAATGACTTGCAACATCAAAAATCACCCAAGTTATCAAATTGCTTCTTTGTAATATAGTGAGGGGCAAGTTAAGTTTTGTACTTTTATGAGTTAAGTTTTGGAAAATACTGGTCCTTTGATGTTTGACATTCATTCAGGCAGGTTTGATTATAATTCAGTATTATAGAGGAATGAAATATTTTTGAAAAATTTAGAAACCTTGCTTGCAGTTTCCTTTAATCGGCGCCAATTCCCATTAAGTTTCTGATAATATTAGTTCAGTGTGGTCATATACTCTCTGTGAGCATGTACTGCAGAACCATGGTTTACGGCTTTGGTTGGTGGTCTATATGACTATATGTGACAGTTAATTACAGACGAAGGGAGTATATAGTGTTTATATGTGGTACTAGAAAGTACAACCGGAAAACTTTTTAATGGCCGGTAATTAGGCAGTTAAGACATCAGTTGGTCCTTTGCCGTACTCCAAGAGCTACATATACGTACGTAAACCATTTGTCTTGGACACTAATGGATTTCATCAATGAATAGCATTTATCTTCTTTTGTTAAATGCTTTCCTATTGGATTTGTCTCTTTGTCTAAATATCTCTAGACAAATGAGTGTGATCTACTGAGAGCTCCAATCAGTAATTAGTCTTCATAAAACCTCTTTGAAATCGTGTCGTTTTCCATGTTTAACAGTTGAAACATTTTATCATGTTGAACTACTTAACAGTTGTTTGTAGGATTACTTAATTTAGCTAGTTTAAGTGCAGAATCCATATAAACTTAAACGAGTATTATAAAGTAAATGCACTTTATAAGTGTGTGGCTCAATGTTAGAACTTATGTCTGAAGGCAATATTCTCCTAACAGTACAGATTGATTAACTATTGTAATGCAGGTGGGATTGGGTAGATTACCGAACATTTTGTCTCATTGATTTAGACAAACATTCTGCATATTATGTTCGTAGTCATAGTATAACATAAACATTTACCTACAACATAGATAATTCTTCTCATATCATCATCTATTAGGTATGTATGCAGAAGGCAGAAGACAGTTTCCGCGAAACTCTGGTGCATCTTTCTCAAAAACAAATTGTGTATTGAACTCTGATACCGAAAAAAACAGTCTGATAGTCAATGCAACCAAGTATGGAAACTTCGGTTTAGAGAATGTGGTTGATGTTGAACTGTTAATCAATTTCAGGCTCATTCTGAATTAGGAACCTTCAGTTCTTGTCTTATCATAATAGGAAATAATCATGTTTATTTCTATATTTGCTGCTTCAAACTCTGGTCTGCAATTGCACAAGTAGCAAAAAATTTATGTACGGACCACATATGATTTCTAGTGAATGAGACGTTTGGAGATAATTTCTGTCGACGTCCGGTCGTTTACGTGTTGCTTCTTCCCGTGACAACTTCATGCAGTCCCAAATAACCCCACGCGGTGGTCTACAAGGTCCTCCTTTTGCCACTCTGTGTCACCTCTTAACGTTTTCAGTGGTGACATTTTCTGAAGTTTCCATCAGCAGTGCTGCTTGAGGCTTATATGCATCAATATTTGGAATGGACATTAGGAATGTTGGAGTGAAACTATACATATTGTGTAACAACGATGCATCATTGGTATCAACATTGACGATTTAGATAAATTAATATAAGTAAATACGGAGTATATATCTAGGTGAAAAGAACACAGCCGTATTGTACTTTTAGCATGATACTCTCATATTCTTTACTTTTTTTATGTTTATAGAGCCACAAGGGCAGGGGTGAGAATCGATCACATGATCTCTTGAAATCGGGAGAGAAACTCTAATCACTTGAGCTATTTCTCACACTTGTACTCCGTACTATTTAGCTATAGATGCCTAAGTTGAAGAATAGTGTTAAGAGCCTACCATAATGCGATATTAATTTGGCTAAATTGGTCTCTTGACTTTCTCGAAAAGTCAGTGGAAGTTGATATTTCTGATTCTTAGGGGACAAACCCAAATCTTATATTGGCCCCTTTCTCTCATAACCTCATTTGGATCATATAGTTTAATAAGTAGTACTCCATTTTTGTCATATAAAAAGAGCCACTAATTGCATTAGTAGTTTTTCATAGGAAGTATCATTTAAATTTTATATATTGGAGAATTCTAGTGTGAGACGATCTCATGTTGTAAGCTGAAAAAAGACATTTAATTTTTTTTTAATCATGAAAGTCATCCTTATCCGAATGGTTGGAAGGATGGAGTTTCATGAGTATAGTGATATTTGTATGAGGAAATTAATTATTTTTAACCATGAATTATATAAGATCATTATGCTAAAGGAATGATTATGAGTATATACCTAAGGATAAACTATGCATCTTTATAAGTAGGTTCCACATCAAAAGAATCCATGCACAAAAGAGAGGTTTACATCTAATCTAAACATTTTGCAATTTAAATAAACAGTATATTAATTGTGTGTTTATTAGGAAAAGATTCTACTCCGAATTCTGTGGTGCTTTACCAATAATCTAGTGTTACTTTTGACATTTCTATAAGAATCTTCCCAAAAATAATAGAAAAGCAAGGAATTTGAGAAGTGTATGATGAGAATCTGAATTTTAAATTACTATGAGTTTATTTTAAAATAGTTTCCTAGGTTAATCATCTAAATTTAAGGAACGCTATATATTAGGTCTTACTTTATAATAGGCTTAGATTCGGCAACTATTATAAGCTAGCACAAATATGATCACCGGAATTGCAACTACACAAATTACATGCTCTACCTAGAAGATTATCCATTAAATTCATCAATAGCATCAATGTGAACACACAACCAAAAAAAAAAAAAGAAAATCAATAGCATCAATGTATCATATAATATGATACACTTTCTTAAAAATGCAATGTTAGGCCATGTTCACTTCACCTTACTTTTACTGTACTGAACTTATTTTTACTGAAACAAAATTATATTTGCTTAACTTAAATTATTTTTACTGAACTTAAATTATTTTACTGATATTCTATTATAATTCTTCTTTAAGATAACTGAAATTTAATGAACTGAACATATTTTTAGTGATTTTACTAAACTGAAATTATTTTTACTTAATATAATTTTTTTTTAAGGTAAATTGAACAGGGGCTTAAGAGGGAATACTTTTAGTATAATTTTAGCTCAATAAAAATCTAATAAATACACTTAATTTAAATATATGCATTTGAGTGTATCAATATTCTATATATATTTTTTTGACACAATCTATACAATATTTAAATTCATCTAAAGATATTTTTTTTTTAAATATAATTAAAGGAACATTATATTACCTGATGTATTGACTTCTATGTATACTGCAATGTTGTATAATAGGTTTATTGCTTTTTTTTTTTTTAATAGGAAATAGTAGGTTTATTACTTAATTTTAAGCAAATTTGATCACTTTAAGTTACTATGAATAGTTGAATACAAGTCAAACAGTAAATTAGGATGGGTCAATTTTGTATTGACTAATGACTACTAATAGATGATTACTAAAAGTACGGATTCTCCTATATTCTATTGGTATAGTATACGGAATTACGGAGTCCTAGACTCCTAGTCTCACTAGACCACAACTACCACCCTTTTTTTTTTATTTTTTTTTTTTTTAAATAAAACCGAAAAAATTTGTACATACTCCAAAATTACAGTTACAATACCCTTATCCACCGTTGGATCACACCCCTCACCTGATTTCTCTTATTTTATTGGGTTTTTAATTTTTTTTTTCCGTTTTTTTTTTCATTGGAAGAATTTATTTCACATGGAGTGTATAAAATTTCCAACTTATACTCCACGTAAAATTTGAAGTACTCCTAATTTATATCCGTCTTATTCTAAATCCGAACTCACATAATAATTTATTTATTTAATCCCTTACAAATATTTCCTTCTTTAACTTAAACTCTCACTCGAGCTACTTAGCTTGAAATTTTATTCAACTTGTACTCCATGTGATAATTGGAATACTGGTAACTTATATTCATCTTAGAGAATAAGGAATTGCTCTAATCGATTTTATTGCTCTTTAGACATAAAAAAAAAAAAAAAACTTATATCCGTCTAATCATAAATCCGAACTCACATAATAATTGATTACTTTCCCTTATTTAATCCCCCAGAATATTCCTTTCTCAACTTAAACACTCACTCACTCCCTCTCACTCATACTCTCAAGTCTCAACCAATACTCTCATTTTCTCTCTCTCTCCTCCATTAACAAACAATGTTGAGCAGAGACTACGAAATCATCGAAGAAATCGGCAGCGGTCGATTCGGCGTCGTTTCAAAGTGCAAATCCCGATTAACCGGAGAATTCTTCGCCGTTAAATCCATCAACAAATCCTCTGTTTCCGGCGACACCATCGATTCTCAATCCCTCATCAACGAACCCAAAGCTCTCCTCCTTCTTTCTCTCTCCTCCACGTCATCACCACCACCATCTTCCTCCTCGTACATCACTCGTCTTCACTCCACTTACGACACCCCCTCTCACCTCCACCTCATCCTCGACTTCTTCCCTTTCCCCTCCCTTTACGACGTCGTTTCACTCCACCACCGAATCCCCGAACCCGAATCTCGCTCCATCGCTTTCTCTCTCCTCCACGCCATCCTACATTGCCACCAAAACGGCGTCGTTCACCGCGACATTAAGCCCGACAACATCTTATTCGACCCGGTTACAAAACGGGTCAAACTCTGCGATTTCGGGTCATCTGGGTTTGTCAACGACGGTGGGAGGATGAGTGAGGTGGTCGGAACGCCGTATTACGTGGCACCGGAGATTCTAGAAGGAAATGGGTATGATGAGAAGGTGGATGTGTGGAGTGCTGGTGTCGTTTTGTATGTAATTCTTGCTGGAATTCCGCCGTTTTATGGAGAGAGAGTAGAAGAGGTTTTTGAAAAAGTTTTGAGGGGTAATTTGAGGTTTCCTTCGAGGGTTTTTGGGAATTTCTCACCTTCTGTTAAAGATCTTTTGAGGAAGATGATTTGTAGAGATGTTTCCAGAAGATTCTCTGCTCAAGAAGCTCTTCGTAAGTTCTCTCTCTAATTTTTTTTTTTTTTTTTGGTAGTTTTAATTTTATTTAATTGCATGGTATATTTTTTGACCTAATTTTGATTAATTTTAGTTACTCTGTTTTCTAGCATACGTTTAATTTTTATTTTTTGAAGTTTTTTTGTCGTTAAAGTCGTATGGAGTTCAGTTATTGGATATGAATACATGTTCAAGAGTTTGATTACGCGCTATTTTTGTGAAATTTTACATGTATGTGGGATTAAATGAAGAGTTTGAATTTACATGAATTGTGAAATTAGTTATGTAGATTATTGTACAGTTTTGAAATATTTAGGAAATTAGGAGATATTGGGTGATTTTAAATCCCGGATTGCATGCAATAGATTAGTTTGGGTATAATTTTTGGATCAAATTTGAGATATATTACCCTTTTTTGGTGGTTTATGTTATGATTTTTTTTAATTTTTTTTTATTTGGTGGATCAAAGTGTAAAATTATTTTTTTCCCTTTATTTTTAGATGGTGGTGTAAAATTAAATAGGGTTAAAATTAGAAAAATAAGTGCAATTTGAAAAATAATAATCCTCTGTTTTATTCCCCTGTTTATGTGTTTCTTGATGAGTGTTATTTTTGTTTGACTCAACAAAAAGGAAAATTACAAAATAAAATAAAATGGTGTGGGAATTATTGAGGGTGATATTATAAAATTATTGAATATTCTTTTATTTGACTGATAGTACATGCATTAGTACTAATGTTTTCTAGAGCCCTAAACTACTTTATATGCATAATAATATTGTTATATGAAAGCTAAAGTTATATCTAGAGTCCTCTTTAGATACCGTTAATTGTTCTATTTCAATTATATTATAGAGAAGATTATTGCTTATTATGATTTTTTTAATTTGTAATCAACCATATCCATAATGCTGCTTTGTAATAGTTTAATTAATCAATCAGTCTCATCAATAAACAAACGACAAAGATCTAGTGTACGTACCATGTACGTACATACACAATCTTATGCGTCAAAACTTATATAATCTAAATTGTTGTAATCTTTTATTCGACTTAAATACCTGTATTAGATCATCGATACTTTGACATGGGTGTAGAATTTTGACATGTCGACCAAGAACGTGGAATTTTTTTACGCATCCGTACATAATATGAGTTTATTAGTCCCAAGAGTAGGTCATGAATATAGTATGCATGTCAAGTAGGTCCTCATTGCATAAAAAAGTGCATTCTTAGTATAAATTTGGTAAAAATGAACTAATATGAATATGTTTGAATGATATGCAGGACACCCTTGGTTCAATGCAAATGGAGGGCAACCTACGACAACGACAATGACATGAATCTACATAAAATTAATACAAGAAGACAACATAAGAGTATATAATATATATATAAGATGGTAACAATGTTAAGTAGTATTCTGTTTTTAGCTTTGCGAGGAAGTAATGTAAATCAAGTAAAAGTGTTTGGTAGTAGTTTTCAAGCTATAAAAAGCCCGGTTTTCCTTCAACATAGTGGCTTTTGCTTGGGTTTGTTTTTTAGGAGTATATGAGCAGCGATATGGTGTAGGCAACTCTAATTTGGAATATATTGTACAAAAACTACTAATTGGAATATCTTCTGCTTTCTATACTTGTGAATCTTGTTGTTGTCTCATTCTTTTTATGTCTCTATCTTACAAATATGTACATGTCTCTATCTTACAAATATGTAATTGTACCGTCGTACGATACATAGTTTGTAAAGAAAATACTACCCCAGTTTCATATTATTTGCAACGATTAGATATTTTTCATCTCTACTTTATGTCAAATCGTTGCAAATAATATGAAACGGAGGTAGTAGGTCTTTCCTAGCGCGCGTGTTCGCCGTGTTGTGCTTGAAGTTGGCGGATATAGGACACAAGCACACAACTCAACCCTTCACATGTGCATGTTGTTTTTCATATCAAACAAACCTAGACTGTATGATGTTCATATAATATAGTATAAGTTTCAACTACCATAAATAAAGATAAATTCACTTTAGTAATAACGTCAATAAGACCAAAGAAAGGAACATTGACTAGTCAAGACATTAACACTTGTTAAGTATTTGACCCGTAAATAATAGATAAAAAAATCACGTGAATTGAGATTTATTGCCATAGATATACAACTCAAGTACTAAGCATGTGTTTGTTTATATCAATTGACTGTTATATAGCCACAGTGACTAATAAGATTATAAAGTTTGTCAAAAAAAAATAAATTATATATATATATATATAACATTGATAAAAATGACCAGTGAAGCATGGTCATGGACCTCATGGAGTCATGGTAAGCATGGAGCTTGGGGCTTTTGAAAATCAAAAGATATCCATAACTGAATTTCATTAATTTTGGACAAAGTTTAGGCTTTTTGGTTTATTTGGGCCAAATTTTAGGTAAGAACCATATGTCAATATGGGCCTCTTTGATTTGTAATACTTCAATCTGGCCCAAATGGATTGGTATATTAATATATAGACTAGTTGACATGGATCAGGATTCTTTGCTTCACAATAATGAAATAGGCCACTAGGATTAGTTAGTAAATGTAGCAAATTGTTTGGGACACCACAAATTGAATTTGGGTTCACTTCTCGTTTTATACAATTAATAGGACCAAAATTTACTATCCATTTCCTCTATCCAAAATTTACGCAGCCACGCAGTGAGCACAGAGCGAACTATTCTTTCGCCTTTTACTAAAGAATACCGTTTGCTCGCTGCATTGAGTGGCATACGTTTATTTTTGGAGGGTGTTCTCGTTAATGAGAGCCCCTAAAAAAAAAAAAAAAAAAAAAAAAAAAAAAAATATCAGCTTCTTATATAATAAAAGATAATTTAGATTTTTCATGAAATTTTTAATTCGTTATATTTCTATTCTGTATAGAGTAGACCTTAATCAAGATGGAGGAGTATTATTGAACTTAAGTGAATTTTTTTATAATCATAATAACGAAATTCTTTAGATCCTTCTAACAATCTTTTTTTAATATTTCAATTAGTCGTTTGTAATAAAAGCTAGAGCTGTCAAAAGTTGACCCGACCCGAAATACCAACCCTAACCCTAACCCGTCTGAACCCGAAAAAAATGGTGATCCGAACCCGACCTAACCCGACCTGAAACCAACCCTAGACCCGAGTATTTGAGACCCGAACCCGACCATGACCCGACCTAGAGAGGACCCGGCCCGAAGGTTACCCGTAAATTATTGACTTGAACCGAACCCGACTCGAACCCAAGAATGACCCAAACCCGATTTAACCCGTCAAAACCCGAATTCAACCCGACCTGTTACTAACCCGACCCGAGGTCAACCCGACCCGTTCCTAACCTTACTCGAATTTAGACCCGACCTGTTACAAACCCGACCCGAAATCAACCCGACTTGTTATTGACCCGGCCCAAATTCAACCCGACTTGTTATTGACCTGACCCGAATTTAAACTCGACCTATTACTGACCCAAATTTTAGGATTTAGGAGTTTTTAGGATAAAAAGAGTACTCCGTATTGACTATTGGGTTTCAGGTTTTTTTTCAATTTATTAACATGGATTCCAATTATAAAACAAAAGTGGCCTTTCTCATCTTACTTGACTTATCTCTTACATAATCCTCGTAAAAAAAAAAAAAAAAAAAAAAAAAAAAAAAAAAAACTGAACTGGACAGCAGCAAAAAAGATTGACGAAATTTTCCACCATGAAATCTCTACTGTGATTGATTTTATTTTTCCTAATTATCTTCAACTTCCTATATGAGCAATGAGCTATATGAGGACATGAGGTGATAGGGTATTAGAGTAGAGCTGTGACTCTTTGAGCTGTCAATGTTTTTTAAACGTATTTGAGGCAATATGAGGTGAGTGAGGTGAATCGGTGATAGTGATTTTGTCTAATTAAATCAGCCAAATGTATTTTTTTTTTTCTAAATTTATCTTATAAATAAACTTTTTTTTTTAATAGCAAAAACATTTCATTAATTAAAAGTCATACGACATCTACAATAGAGATTCGACGTTAACAAATACATAAGATTATAACCCGTAAATAAACTTCAAAATAAACTTCCATATAACTACTTAAATTTTTTTTTCAAATTTTAGTATTCACTTGTTTATTTTAATATTTTTTTAAATGTTTTAAATTATGCAATTTTATTTGGAGCTTTAAAAATTTTTTTTAAATTTTATTGACTTGAACCGAACCCGACTCGAACCCGAGAATGACCCGACTTGAAAATGACCCGACTTGATTATAACCCGCAAATTATTGACTTGAACCGAACCCGACTCGAACGCAATAATGTTCCGACCTGATTATAACCCGTAAATAATTGACTTGAACCGAACCCGTCTCGAACCCGAACAGGACCCTAACTTAAAGTTTGTTGAGTTTCTAAGGTTGTTTTTAAAAGTTTGGGCCCTTCAACTTAAAGTGTTTGATCAATTGTATCTTTAGATGTTACCTCAATATTAGTAATACTCAGAAACGTATATGATGTGATACGAAGATGAGAAAAAAATGCAACTTTATATTAAATGTGCACAAACAAAGGAATAATGTCCGTGCACAAACAGAGGAATAATGAAAATCAAAGTAATATAAGTTATATAACTAATAAAGGAAAATGCAAAGATTTTTTTTTTTTTTTTTTTTTTTTAATGGCCCGCTTTGGTTAATTAACTTAGCTTTGATTTATCTTCGTCTACTTCTTTCATCCCTATTTCGCTTCTATTTAAAAAAATGCATAAGGTTTAATAACCCCACAATTTAAGATGTTCGATAATATTCATTTTCCTATAAAATTAGTATAGAAATAGGAGTTGAATAAACATTCAATATAATGAAGATTGAAGATATAATTACACACTTACACTTGCACATGATATGAAACAAAGGCGGGCCTTAAGGTCCCAAGCTTTGTGCAAAATTTCATTACATATAGCATAAGTGTAACAACTAACAAGGTTATGATCGGATTCACTTGCAAGTCATGCCAATGTGCCAAACCTATTACTCCCTTAGTCCCAACCTAGTCTCGGTCCCATTTTTATTTTATTTTTTTTGACGGGATCTGTCCCATTATTTTTTATCAGTGTTTGATTATCAAATGTTATTCGTACTATTATAGTGGCAATTATTAATTAAAAAGTTTTTTAAGTGAGACGGATAAATAAGGAAATTAAATAGAGTAATCTAGACGAAATTTATAAGAGTATTTCAGAAAAAGGGAAAAAAAAAATTCTTCATGTTGTCACTTTAAAGAACCAACTAACCAATTCAAGTGATGCACTCCGAATTTCAAAGATAAGTTAAGGCTTGAGGGGAATTGTACATATAACTAGAGCTGTCAATTCGGGCTAACAGGTCGGGTTTGGGTCGAGTAAGAGTGAGTCAAGTCAACTCGGGTTGGATCACTTCAAATTAATTCCATAACCTATGCGGATCGGATTTGGGGCGGGTTGGGTTTGGGTTAGGTCATGCTTGAGTCGGGTCAGGTCGGGTCATACTTCTTATCGGGTTTGGGTTGGGTTTAGGTCGTGTTAATAACAGGTCGAGTTACATTCGGGTCGGGTGAACAATAGGTCAGGTTTAATTCGGGTTTTCACGGGTTAGGGTAATTCTCGGGTTCGATTCAAGTCAATAATTTGCGGGTTAAAATCAGGTCGGGACATTCTCGGATTTGAGTCGGGTTCGGTTCAAGTTAATAATTTGCAGATTATAATCAGGTCGGGTCATTTTCAAGTCGGGTCATTCTCGAGTTCAAGTCAGGTTCGGTTCTGTAGATACCCATTTGTGTCTCCCCAAAACCAAACCCAGTGATGAGTACCTTTCACGTCGAATCATAATCGAATGAAGTGAAAGTGTGGAAAGTTTAGTGTTGCGGATAGTTTTAATTTCTTTTCTCTTCTCTCTGTTTTTTAAAACTTATTTTAAGAAAACAACCAATCCAGTTTGGTTGGTCCATGATATGGGTCCAATAGTAGTGTAATTGGATGGGGCTTGACAAGAGCTTTCCAACGATATATTATAAGCCCAATTCCGATGAATAATGAGGAAGTTATGGCCAATTTACTGAACTGGGCCCGGTTTGAGCCTTATATGCGGCCCAATGATCTAGGGGAGGGCCTAATATGATTTATCATTCCTAATGCAATTAGGAATGGTTTTAGTCTTCTAGATTCTTCTAGAAGGTTCTTTTCATTCCTAATTCAATTAACATTGATAAATTGACTTTTGTTGACTTTTCAGAGTTTTAATTAAAATCAAAGAACATATTTTGAGGGAAATACGATTTTATCCTCCTGTACGACAATTTTTATCTGATTTTTAGAAAACGCGTGATTTTCTGAATCAACGCCAAACGCCAGCTGTAGCACCTGGCGCTACGCTTGGCGCCAGCTTTGGCGCCTGGCGCTGATGTTGGCGCCTGGCGCTGATGTTGGCGCCTGGCGCCAATGGCCAGCGTTGGCGCTGGTTCAGTTTCATGTGCGCCAAGCTCTGTTTTGATATTTTATCTTTTTGGCTGATTACTCTATAAATAACGTATTAAAAACTCCGTTTTCGATAACCAGTTTTCATCAATAACCAGTTTTCACC